ACGTGCATGTCTGTGTGTGTATGCATATGTTTGTGAGGATATGTTGGTGTCTACCATTTGAATGCTTCTGTGTCTCTGTGTGGGCACATATGTGTTGGGGGGTGTGTGTGCATACGCATTTGTGTGGCTTTTGTATGTGCGTATGTATATATGTATGTATGTGGGTATAGGCTTTGTCTCTCTGTGTATGCGTGTGTGAAATTGTGTTGTCTGCATGTGTGCCTCTGTGTGCGTGTGTGTGTGTGCGTGTGCGCCTGTCTGCGTGTGCGTGCAGCCAGTGACCATGATGGTTCAAACATCCTGCCTTGTGCAGAAGGCGGGGTGGGGCTTCACGTTACCAGTTTCCCTGCGGGTCCTGCTTGGCTCACAGGTGCCCCCTGCCCAGGTGCCCACAGCCTGTTCCTTCTGTCCCAGGTGGAGGCAGTCATTCACCCGCGATTCCTGGCAGAACTGCTTTCTTCAGAACCACAGCTGGATCTTTTGGCCCTCGCTGAGAAATTGGAGCAGGAGGAAGGACTCTCCCTTGCAGAGGTGAGCAGGGCAAAGAGAGACTCAGGAGAGGAGCCGAGCCAGGGGAGGGAGGGGACCCAGGTGAGCCAGGGAAGGGGGGGCACTCAGTACAAAGGCACACGTGACTCGGTCCCCCGCTCCCCTGCCTAGGAGGCATGGCACTGGGGAGGCGAGCTCCAGGAGCTCCAGGGCAGGTACTGAGCAGAGAATGCCATCTACAGGATGGGGAGCCTGGGAAGGGAGGGAGGGACTCGGGGGGATATCAGGAGAGCCAGGGCCTCACGGGCCACCCGACCCCTCCTCCCACCCCCCCCCCACCCCCGTCCCCCATGGCACCGTCCCACCTCCCCTCTCACACTCCCGTGCTGGCCAGTCACCGTCACCTCCCTCCTCCCAGCTGGTAGAGAAGAGACTGGTGGCCTTGGCGGTGGAGGACGGTGTGCCCACAACCCCGAGTCACTGTGCAGCGACACTGGGCTCCGGGCCTGAGGGTGAGGCCATGGCCCGGCCAGGGGTCAGCTGTGAAGCCTGCCCAGCAGAGAGCGAGTGGCAGGACCTCCGGAGGCACAGCCGGGCACACGCGCACCACCCGTGCAGACCCAGAGCCTTTGCCGCGTCTCCAGGACAACAGGAGCTGCCTGCCCTCCGGGCTGGTGGGCTCTCCTCTCCTCCCCAGGGGCCAGGGCGCACCCCTCCTCGGCCGGACCCCAGGGATGCCCCGTTGTTCAGAGAGGCCCCCCCTGCTAGGGAGCCTGGCGGGCCAGCAGGTGGGTCCAGTGAGGACGAGGAGGAGCTGCCCAGCCTGGCCTTCCTCCTGGCCTCTGGGCACAGCCTGCTGCCCTGGGGGCTCTCCCAGAGTCCTGCTCTGGCCCCGGGCCTCCCCAGCCCTGGAGGGCGCGGGCCGCGGGGAGCTCCCCAGGCCCCTGCTGCTCAGAGAATAGGCCGCAGCCCAGCCGCTCCCCCAGCTGCCAAGTCCAGAAAGCGGGCTCTGCGTGCGGGTCTGGCCGCTGCCGGGAAGACGCCCCTCCCAGGGGCCAGCCTCAGGGGCTCGGTGCGGGCCCTGGCCGTGGGGCTGCTTCGGCCCTCTCTGCCTCCAAAGAGAAGGTGTGGCTCCTTTGTCCCAGGGAGGAGGAAGAAGCAGCACTGCAGCCCGTAGGGAGCCCTGGGCCCACCCTTCAGTGCTGATCCTGGCTGGGGGGAGAGGGGGAGGGCACGACTGCGGGCGGGGCGGCAGCAGCCCCCAGGGGCGCTGCGTGTACGTGGGAATAAAGATGGTTTTACTGGGAAATGCGTCTGGGCCGCTGCGTGGAGATGCTCTGGCCGGAGGGAAGGGGTCTGGGAGGGGCCTCCAGGGGCTTGCGGTCACCATGTGCGTCCCTGAACATCCAGGGGTGGGCGCCCTCTGCACCACAACCGTCTTCCAGAGTGCAGTCTGCAGTCAGCCCTGTCTTCTCCGGGAGCTGCCCTCTGCCTCCCTGCAGCGTCCAGCCATGGGGCTGAGCTGGGGCGGGGAGGGGGGGCTTGGGGGGGGGCTACATCCTCCTTGGCTCCTCCAAGGCTCCCTGTGTGGGCCTGAGGGAGGGCAGAAGGCCTGGCCTCAGGGGACAGGCTCTGGGGCTCCGGCCTCGTGGTATGAGGAGCATCTTCGAGTCCCAGTGGGACCGTTGAAATGTTTGGGATGGGGGGGGAGTCCTCTTCATCCCCGTGAGGATGGACTCGGGGAAAGCTTGAGGCGGGACTGGGGGGCCACCAGCCGAGGTGTGCGCTGCGCTGTCCCAGGCGGTCAGCTCACTGGGCCTCCACAGGGAGCCTGGAGGGAGCCAGGCTTCACCGCTTTCTGAGGACCGTGGGCTCCGGGAGGCCAGGGGATGAGGGCAGTCACGGGCGCCAGGGCGGCTGCCACACAGCGTTGGCTCCAGAGTCCTCCTCCTGCTCCCCTAAGAAGAAACCCTTCAAAGTAGCCATGGAGTCGTGGGGAAATCCCTCGCATCCAGGTGCACACCTGTCCCCACTGATGACGGTGTCATGTCTTCTGATGGCACCCGGGCAGTTGGGCTCCCTGTTGCCCCCCCCCCCTCCTGGCTGCACGTTTGTTCTTCATTCCGAGCTGCGGGGTGTCCTACAGGTCACTGTGCGCTGGGCGGGAAGGGGGAGAGCAGGCTGCTTTGGGGAATCCTGGCCAGGGTGCCCCCATGCTCCCCAAACGCTGATCTTGGGGAGGCCTGCCCGCACCCATGCCTCCATCGGTCATCAGCCATCACTGGGCACGGGTGTCTTAGGGGGCTCCGGCAGAGAAAGATGGTGTCCGTGGCCAGTTGTTAGGACAGACAGTGCTGAGCCATCCCCGGAACCCCTACAAGCATTTGCTCTGGAGATTCTGGGCCGGGAATCAGAGGGCTCGGAAAGTCCCCACTTGTGGTCCCCACGACCTACTTGACGGGACCCTTCCTCCAGATGAGCTGGCACGAGTCCCCACAGCCTCGCAGGTCTCCTGGGAGGCCCTGGACGTGACTCACGGAGTCTGAGGGCCCGTCCGTCTGGGATGCCTGCGTGCCAGCCTGGGCTCTCTCTCGTTGCTCATTTTAGCAAAATATCTTGTGATTAAGCTGGGCTGTGTGAGGGTTCATTTTCCCTACTTCACCGCAGTCTCTGAAGGCCAGTCTCCACCCTCCTCCCATAGTCCTTTGGAATGTCCTTTGTCGTGGTTCATTCGGAAGATCATGCTTCAGGGCCGTGTATTGTGTGGATTCGTACAAAGTGCATGGACATTAAAAGATGTTTTCCAACCACAAACTACAGAGGCATCCCCAATTGTAAGGCTCCTAATTTATTTACTCGGGGGGTGGTCATTGTTAATTGCTCTCCTGCACGGTCTGTTAATGAAACTGGCCAGATGCTGGTGTTCTCATCCTTCATAATGTAGAGAAGGAGAGCCCCCAAGGCACTAGTCACACAATGGTATGTCACTGTCACCATCCTGATGTCATCAGAACCAGGGCATCAGAACAGATCATCAGAACAGGTCTGTGCTGGACACACAGATCATACCCTAGGTGATGCTAGGAGATTCCTCTGGGATTCTAAACGAGCCAACAAGGGTCCATAGATCCCAGATGGCCTGCATTCACACTAACTGCTTATTTTCCATTTTAGAAAATGGGTAATTTCAGTAGGAATATTTCAAGCTTATAGAAAAAATGAAAAAGATGCAACAGAAACCACAATAGACAACACCTAGATATAGGCAACGTTAGCATTTTGACATATTTGCTCTAGCCCAATTATAAAATAAAAACTGTTCTTAGACATTCACATGAAATACAATTCACTCATTTGAAGTTTACAGTTTTATGGCTTTCAGCTTGTTTATAGAATTTGTAGCCGTTACCACAATAAATTATAGAATGTTTCATCAGCCCCAAAAGAAATCCTGTACCCTCTCACCGTCCCCCTGTCTTCCCATCTGGACATCAGGCCAAAGCACCCATTCATTCCTTTGTCTCTATACATTCCCACATTCTGCACTTCTGTATGAATGGGATTATATGATAATCCTTTTATGTCTGCTTTCTTTTACGTAGAATAAGGTTTCCATGTTTCACTCGTGTTTGCACATTTTCAATAATATCCCATTGTGTGGATGTACTACTGTCTGTTAAATCCACGGATTAGTTGCCAAACATTTGGGTTGTTTCTACTTTTGGCTAATACGAATAATTCCGGTGTGAACTTTTGTGTGGATGCATGTTTCATTTCTCATGGCTATATATCTAAATGTGGAATGGCTGGATTGTTTGAAATCTCTATATTCAACCTTTTCAGAAACTGTTGGACTGTTTCCAAAGTGCCTGCGCCATTTTGTGTGTTTGCACTAGCAGTGTATTAGGATTCTACTTTCTCTCCACGTTCTAGCCAATGCTTCCTACCATCTAGTTTGTTTGTTTGTTTGTTGGTTGGTTTTGTTTTTGTTTTTTTGCTAATGGTCATTCTTGTGGTTCTGAAGTGGGCTTTCAGTGTGGTTTTGGATTGCATTTCCCTGATGTTGAGCATCTTATGTGCTTATTGGCCATTTCTGTAACTTCTTTGGAGTGATATATATTTATCCTTTGCCCATTCTTCATTGGTTTATTCGTCCTTTATTATTGAGTTGTAAGAGTTCTTTATATATTCTAGATAAAATCTTTTATTCGGAGATGATTTGCAAAAATATTCTCCCATCCTGCAGGCTGTTTATTAGTTTGTCAATAGAGTTCTTTGCAGTAAAAAGGTATTTAATTTTGATGAAGTCCAAGGTATGTATTTTTTCTTCTGTTGTTTGTGCCATTTTGCCAGACCTAAAAATATGTTGACTGACCCTATGTTGTGAATACTTATGCCTCTGCTTTCTACCTTTTTAAAATCATTTAAACATTTCAAGTATACAGTTCAGTAGTGTTAAGTATATTCACATTGCTGTGCAAGAGATCTCTAGAATGTTTTCATCTTCTAGTTCTGAAACTCTGTACACATTAAACACTAGTCCTCCCTCCCCCTTCCCCAGAGGCAACCCACCTTTCCACTTTCTCTTTCTATGATTTTGACTACTTTAGATACTTCGTATGAGTGATTAGGGAATCATACAATATTTTTTCTTTTGTGACAGGCTTATTTTAATCAGCATCATGTCCAAGAGGAAAAAGAATCTCTTGTGCTTTGTTTACCTCTTTCCTTGATTCGCCTCTTTTCCCATATGTTCATCTCTTTTCTTTCTTAAATTCCACATATAAATGAAATAATATGGTATTGTCTTTCTCTGATTGACTTATTTTGCTCAGCATAATACATTCTAGCTCCATCCACGTTGCTGCAAATGGCAAGATTTCATTCTTTTCATGGCTGAGTAATATTCCATTGTATATTTATACTACATCTTCTTTATCCATTCATCAGTTGATGGACATTTGGGCTCTCTCCACAGCTTGGTTATTGTTGATAATGCTGATATAAATATCATGGTGTATATACCCCTTCAAATCTGCATTTCTGTACCCTTAGTTAAATACCTAGTAGTATAATTGCTGTATCATAAGGTAGTTCTATTTTTAGTTTTGAGGAACGTCCATACTGTTCTGCAGAGTGGCTGTACCAGTTTGCATTCCCACCAACAGTGCAACAGGGTTCATCTTTCTCCACATCCTCACCAACATCTGTTGTTTCTTGCGTTGTTAATTTTAGCCATTCTAACAGGTGTTAGGTGGTATCTCATTGTGGTTTTGATTTGTATTTCTCTGATGATGAGTGATGTTGAGCATCTTTTCATGTGTC